TAGAGGGGGGAAGGTGCCTCGCCCCTCTGGAAGAATTCAGCCTTTCAACGCCCAGTTTCTTCACTTTGGCAGGTAGTGGACGGTAGCAGGGGCACTGAGCGCTCAGGTGGGGAGGAGCCCACTCGGCAGGGTGGAAGAGGGGGCCTGATCACCCCCCTGGGAGGGACCAGAAGGGAGACACATAGGAAACTGGTTTAGGTTGGCGACAATAGCTGCTTGGCACTCAGGTCGATGGCCGTGCCAGGGATAAAGAAAAGGAACTTAGGGTTTAAGAAATCCAGTTAGGAGGTGTGTCCACGCTGTCTTAGGGAACGTGCCGAGCTGTCGCCACAGGGTTTCAGAAAGAGGATATCGATTTCTGCACGCTTGTATTCTGCCCTCCCCCAGGAGGTACCCATCTGCTGTGTGACCCATCATCACCCCTGCCAGTGGAGGCAGGTAGATTGGCTTCTCGGGAAGGCCCTGGGACGTGGGAATCCAGAGGTAAGAAAATGGGAGGAAGCGGATCTAAGGCCACTGTATTGGAGAATATGATTAAGAATTTTAAGAAAGGATTCGATGGAGACTATGGGAGGAAAATGATGCCCAGCCACCTCCGTACCCTTTGTGAAGTTGAATGGCCTTCAATGGGAGTTGACTGGCCACCAGAGGGAACTGTGGACTTAAATCTCATGAAGGCAGTCTATGCTATAGTTACAGGAAAGCCCAGACATCCCGACCAGTTCCCGTACATAGACTCTTGGCTGGGAATAGCCCAAGACCCCTCCAAATGGGCCCATTTTTATGCTCATGGTGGGGAAGGAAAAATCTTGATGGCCCAAAAGGTAACCAAGGATGAGGAGGAAATTTTACAGGACCCTCAAGGAGATGAGCTTCCCCCACTGCTGTATTGGATGATGGTTCCACCAGCTAGTAACGCCGCGGCCACCGGAGGCCCAACCGGAGGAACCAGCCCGAGACCGTAAGCCTCCCGGACTCCTCAGCGGTCCCGAGAGCTCCACAGGTTGTAGAGCCGCCCCCCCTCCCCCCCGGCAGGCTCCAGCCTCAACTGGAGGGGCAATGAGCCCACCGGACTCTACCACCCCGGATGCTGCCACCACGTTCCCTAAACTCTACCCTCCACTCCCGGTAGGTACTCCCGGACAAGGGGGAGGAACCACTGGAATTAAAACAAAGGCTCTGCTCTGCCAAAGAGCCAGAGGAAAGAATACCCTTGCAGATGCCCCTCAGAGAAGTTCAGCAACCCCCAGTGATAGGGGAGGATGGTAATTATCACCAAGCTCCTGTAACCTATTACTACCAGCCCTTTTCATCAACCGATACACTGAACTGGCAAAAACACACCCCCTCTTACTCGGTGGAACCCCAGGGCATGACTAGACTAATGGAGACTAGTTTTTGCACTCATTGACCAACCTGGGACGATATAATGCAATTACTAGCATCTTTCTTCAGTACAGAAGAGAGATACAGGATCAACACCGAGGCAAGGAAATGCTTACAGGAGATGGTTCCTGAGGATACTGCTAGCCCAGAGAGGTGGATAGAGCAAGGCTTCCCCACTGACAGACCTAATTGGGGCTATAATACAGAGGAAGGAAAAATCCAATTAGATAGATACCGGACGGCGATTATACAAGGACTTAAAAGGGGAGCCCGGAGGCCGATGGACATGTCTAAACTGGCCAGAATGGTTCAGAAGGGAAACGAGTCACCTTTCGAATTTTATGAGAGACTTTGTGAGGCCTACAGACTCTATACACCCATAGATCCAGAAGCTACGGGCTCCCAGATTGTTATCAATTGGGCATTTATCTTGCAAGCATTTCCTGACAAAAAAAAGAAAGCTTCAAAAGACCGAGGGAGTTCTATCCATGTCTAGTTCTCAGCTGATTGAAATAGCAGATAAGGTGTTCCAGAATAGGGACACAGAAATAGAAAAGAAATAGGAGAAAAGGTATAAAGACGAGCAGAGAACAGAAGAGAGGTTTGCAATGTTGGCTGCTGCGCTTGGGAAGTCTTCCGAAGACTTTTCCACTGCCAGAGCAAAGAAACCCCCCCTAGCTTCGAGGTCAGGACAGCCTTCCAACCGGTCCCAACGGAGGCCACGGCTCTATTACAGCCAAATCAATGCGCCTGATGCCGTGGGTTCGGTCATGGAAGAATGAGTGCCCAGAAGGAAGAAGGGAGAATAAATGCCTCCTAGTTGCAGAACTCACTAACATAGAGACTGAATAGGGATGCTGGGGCTCAAAGACATCAGGTCCCCAAGAGCCCATGGTAACTTTAAAAATTGGGGACCAAGATATTGACTTTATGGTGGACACTGGGGAAGAATGGTCCGTGGTAACTAAACCCGTGGTGCCACTGTCTAAAAGGACCGCTGCCGTAACTGGGGTTTCAGGAGAAGAAATAGTTAAGTCGTTTTGCCAGCCCAGGAAATGTCAGATGTGGGGGTCACCAAGTGACTCATGAGTTCCTCTATATCCCTGAGTGCCCAGCACCCCTGCTGGGGAGAGACTTACTCTCCAAACTGGGACCACAAGTGACTTTCTCTCCTGAAGAAAGGCTCACTTTTCGGGTGGGCACAATAACCTACTTACTCTCCCTCTATGTGCCCCCTCAAGATGAATGGAGGCTACATGAGCCCCCTGGAGATAAATAAGACCAGACAACAGAGTTGGAGAGAAGGATAACTCAGCTGTTCCCTGAGGTCTGGGCCGAAGATAACCCCCTGGGCTAGCTAGACACCAAGCCCCTGTGATAACAGAATTCAAACCTGGCGCCACCCCGGTGAGAAAGCGTCAATACGCAATACCCACAGAAGCCTGAATCGGGATTCTGCCTCACATCAGGAGGCTAAAACAGGCAGGCATCCTGGTGGAATGTCAATCAGCCTGGAACACACCAATCTTGCTGGTAAAGAAGGAAGGAGGATAAGTCTATGGGTCCATACAGGATCTCAGATTGGTCAGTCAGGCCACTGTAACTCTGCACTCAACTGTCCCAAACCCCTATACCTTGCTTAGCCTCCTCCCACCTAAGACAAGGATCTATACTTGCTTGGACCTCAAAGATGCCTTTTTCTGTATATGCCTATCACCTGCATCACAACCCATCTTTGCCTTTGAATGGGAGGACCCCATCGGAGGCAATAAGCAGCATTTCACTTGGACTCGTCTCCCGCAAGGATTCAAAAGCGCACCAACCATCTTTGGAGAAGCCTTGGCCTCGGACCTGGAAACTTTCCAGCCTGAAAGGTAAGGATGTTGGTTCCTGCAATATGTGGACGACCTGTTGCTTGCCTCTGAGACCTGGGAGGAATGCTGGGAAGGGACCCAAGCGCTCCTCCAATTGCTGGCAGAGGCGGGATACCTAGTGTCGAGTAAAAAGGCACAAATCTGCAAGGAGGAGGTAAGGTATTTGGGGTTTGTCTTAAGGGAAGGCACAAGGTTACTAGACCAATCTAGAAAGGAAGTAATTCTGAGGCTCCCCACGCCTAAGACTCGGCAGCAAGTCAGGGAGTTCCTAGGGGCCACTGGATTCTGCAGGATTTGGATTCTAAGTTATTCTCAAATAGCCCAGCCCCTATTTGAGCTCCTGACAGGGCCTGAAGAAAATTTAGTAAGTTGGTCTGAGAAACAGCAGGAAGCCTTTGAGGAGCTAAGACTAGCAATCACCTCTGCCCCTGCCTTGGGATTGCCAGACCTCACCAAACCATTCACCTTATATGTGACTGAGAAAGATAAAACAGCCATGGGGGTTTTGACTCAGACTTTGGGAATGTGGGACAGGCCAGTAGCTTACCTTTCAAAGCGACTTGATAATGTTGCCACCGGGTGGCCTAGCTGTCTGTGGGCAGTGGCCGCGGCCGCCCTACTGGTACGTGAAGCCACAAAGCTGACTTTTGGCCAGGACCTGATCGTAAAAGTCCCACATGAAGTCAACACCCTCCTTCTAGGAGACCGCCACAAATGGCTGTCAAGTTGCCGAATTATTCAATACCAGGGACTGCTATGTGAAAACCCCAAACTCCGTATCGAGCCTTGCCAGGGTTTAAACCTAGCAACGCTTCTCCCAATGCGAGAAGGCGGGCCTACCCACGATTGCAAGGAAGTCTTAGAGGAGGTCTCTGCTAGCCATCCAGACCTCCGAGACAGGCCAATTTCAAATCTTGACTGGATTTGATGGCACCAGCCTGATGAAGCTAGGACAGCGACTGTCAGGCTATGCTGTAGTTACAGAGAGGACTGTTATAGAGGCCGGCCCCTTACCACAGCACTGGGCAGCCCAACGGGCAGAGTTATGGGCCTTAGTCCGGGCACTGCAGTTGTCAAATAGTAAGAGAGTGAATGTCTACACCGACTCCCCGTATGCTTTCGCTACACTCCATGTACATGGGGCGCTATACCGGGAGAGAGGCCTTCTAACAGCCAATGGAAAGGACATTGAGAATAAGGAGGAGGTCCCGACCCTGCTAGACACTGTCTGGAGCCCCACGGAGGTAGCAGTCACGCACTGCTGTGGGCACCAGAAGGAAGATACCCCACAGGCTCGAGGAAATAGGCTGGCTGACGAGACCACCAGATGAGCAGCCGAGGACAGAAAGGAATCCGGGGGAATCCCCATGAGAACATTTGTCCTAGCTGAGCTACCCGAGCTGGCCCTAGACTCCCTGACATACACTGAGGCTCAAAACCAACTAGCTCTTTTCCGCCCGCTCCTCCTCCCCCCAGCGCCGCTCTGAGCTCCGGGCTCCTGCCAAGCCAGCGCCTCCCTCCAGTCGCCATCATGATCGTCGACTGGGACCTCATTAGCCATGATGAGATGTTCTCCGACATCTACAAGATCCAGGAGGTCGCGGACGGGCTGTGTCTGGAGGTGGAGGGGAAGATGGTCAGTAGGACGTCGATGACTCGCTCATTGGTGGAAATGCCTCCACTGAAGGCCCCGAGGGCGAAGGTACTGAAAGCGCAGTAATCACTGGTGTCGATATTGTCATGAACCATCACTTGCAGGAAACCAGCTTCACAAAAGAAGCCTACAAGAAAGACATCAAAGATTACATGAAGTCAATCGAAGGGAAACTTGAAGAACAGAGACCAGAAAGAGTAAAACCTTTTATGACAGGGGCTGCGGAACAAATCAAGCACATCCTTGCTAATTTCAAAAACTATCACTTCTTTACTGGTGAAAACATGAATCCAGATGGCATGGTTGCTTTGCTGGACTACCATGAGGATGGTGTAACCCCATATATGATTTTCTTTAAGGATGGTTTAGAGATGGAAAAATGTTAACAAAGTTGGCAGTTACTTTGGATCAATCACCTGTCATCATAAATGGCTGGCCACTGCGTTTCATCCACACAACACCAGGACTTACAGATGGGACTGATGTCATCTCGAGCTCTCCATTTGTTTTGAACGTTGATTTATTTGGAGCGGAGGCATTGTTTTTGAGAAAACGTGTCATGTAGGTTGTCTAAAAATAAAACGCATTTAAACTCATTGGAAAAAAAAAAAACCAACTAGCTGAAGCGGAGGGAGCCACCAAAACAGAGAAAGGATGGTGGGAACTGCCAGGTGGTAAGCTACTAGTGCCTGAAAGGATGGTCCCTTATCTGGTGAGCCAAGCTCATCGTACGACTCACCTAGGATATGACAAACGGGAGGAATTGATCTGAAGGTATTTTCTGGTTCCTCGCCTCTCCTCTCTATGTAGAATGGAATCCCAAAATTGCAACGCCTGCTCTCAGATTAACGCCGCTCCAGGGTGCAGACCAAAACCCCCAGGCATCCAATTAAAAGGTACCCTTCCCTTTTGAACATCTGGAAGTGGACTTTGCTGAGATGAAACCATATCGCCATTTTCCTTACCTGTTGGTCTTGGTATGTACATTCTCGGGATGGGTGGAGGACTTCCCCACCCGAACTGAAAGAGCATCAGAAGTGGCTCGGAGCCTGCTTAGGGAGATAGTTCCTCGATTTGGATTCCCCACCAGCATAGGATCAGATAATGGCCCAGCCTTCATATCGGATCTGATACAACAAGTAAGTAAAGCCATGAATATAAAATGGAAGTTACACAATGCCTACCTGCCTCAGAGCTCTGGAATGGTAGAACAAACTAACCAGACACTAAAGGAGACACTTTCTAAATGGATTATAGAGACTGACTGCTCCTGTGTGGATTTACTTCCCATGGCCTTGCTCAAACTCAGGATGACCCCACGGTCCCACAGCTACTCTCCCTACGAAATTGTATATGGGAGGCTTCCTCCTATAAGAAGACAGGTAACAACTGATATACTTCAGGTAAGAGGAGATAGGATATCACAGCAGATGGAACAACTAGGTAAGGTAATTAATCAAGTAACTAAGTTTTTGCAAGAAAGAATACCGTTCCCTTTGGGGGAGCAAATGCATGAGGTTATACCAGGCGACCAGGTATGGGTGAAAGACTGGAAACGTGACTCACTAGCCCCCTGATGGAAAGGTCCTTATACTGTTGTTTTAACCACCCCTACCACAGTTAAAGTTGCAGACATTGCCCCTTGGACCCATCACACCAGAGCGAAGAAGGCATACCACGCTGACCCAGAAGATGCTGACTGAACCATCCAGAAGGACCCCACCGACCCACAGGAAACCACGATCATTCTGAAGAGGAAGAAGAAAACGAGGTCCCAGACGAGCCCTCCATAGGACAGAGCTGGGTAAACGACTTTTGCTACTCGGCCTCACCAACACAATTCTGAACCTGACCACTGTTCCTGCACAGGACAACCTCTTCATCTCATGGGCACATTTTTACATGAACTTCCACAACTTCTCCAATTGTTGGGTATGTGGGGCTATGCCCCTGTCAGTAATGGCGGACTCCCCTGGTGGGTATCGCCACTTCGTTATGGAGACTTTATACCACTGTGCTCCTTCTTGGAACAACAGAAAGGAACTTTTCTTTCTCTCACCAATCATAACCTTTCTTTGCTCTCCTGGTATAAGAAAAAGCCATCAATGGGCTGGGGACATAGGGTTACATTTAACATGAACACAAGTCTTATGGAGGTAACAAGGGCTTATACCTCATATATGAAAAATAAAATGGAGAAGGGCTCCCTTACAAAAGGGGGATGGGCCTCCTGGTACCTTGAGCAATACTACCAGTTTGGGATGAATATTTCTGGATGACTCCTGAGAAAGGACAGTTGATTGATCCCACTACTATTTGCTGGGAACAAAAAGAAGACAAAGTTGGATTTGGAGGCCGCCCCCTAGACCCAAAAGAATTAAAATATATGGGTTATTTGTCCCCTGAACAACATAAACAAATCTTGGAAGTTACCTATCACCCCAATCGGTCTGCTCAGTGGCCTGGTTCCGACTGGAAATATAATCCCGGAATCCGTTGGGTAGCCCCCAATGGGACCCAGTGGCTCTGTGGGCTTAACTTATGGCCATGGTTACCAGTTGGCTGGGTAGGGCGTTGCACACTAGGATTTGCTTTTGCCCATGGCGGTATTAAGCCTAGCCTACACCAACCTCCAGTAAACCTGCCCTATCTGCATGCAAGATGGACACGATCTGTGTTCCAATGGTATGACTATCTTGCTGCCTTGTTTGTACCCTCTATAGGGACAACAGATATCATGGTTAAGGTAGAGGCCTTAATTAATTTCACTAAACAGGCCCTCTTAGACAGTACAAAAGCCATTCAAGCCTTGAATGAAGAACAAATTCAGATGAGGAAGGCAGTAATTCAAAATAGGATGGCATTAGACATACTCACAGCAGCCCAAGAGGGGGGCTTGCATCATAATTAAAGTCAAATGTTGTGTATACATCCCTGATGTGTCTGGAAATGTATCTACTGCCTTGGAGGATATGCAAAATCGAGTGGAAGCCATGTCTAATGAAAATATTCCCTTTTGGACTTCGGTCCTGTCCTGGGTAAAGGGAGATGGTGGAAACCATTGTAACTGTTGCTATGGTAATCTTAATCATACTGCTTCATGGGCCCTGCTTCCCACAATGCCTTGTGAATTTTGTGACCCAGAGGTTGATATCATTCTCTCATGTGGGTGGCCGGAGGGCTAAGGTACAATATATCTCAATGAATGATGCTTGTTACAGAAACTAAGAGCATCAAGAGCAGGGAATGAAGAAGGAATTCACAGGGCCTGGACTCCATCTGAGGCCTGTTCATGCTGATCATGCTCGGCCACCTCTCCAGTGGACTCTGAACTCTGCGCTTAGTGCCCATGGACACTACAACAGGAGGATAAGAATCCCCCCTCCGGACAGGGGAACCTTGAAGATCTATCTAGGTTACTCATGGCCTAAGAGGAAACATACCCTAATCACCCCTGCCTCCAGACAGGTCATACATTTTTTCCATATCTATCAGAATGTAACCACAGGCTTATCGATTTTTAATGGGTTGGAATGTAACCGCAGGCTTATTGATTATTAACTGTTTGGAATGTCACCACAGGCTTATTGATTATTAACTGTTTAGAATGTAACCATGGGTTTATTGATTATTAACTGTTTGAACACATAACACATGAATGATGGGGTTATTGTGGTTGTATTTACCCTTCCTTTGTTTATGTAAGTCTCAAGGAATTTGGGGTGGTGGGTTCGGACACATACACATGGAGTATAAAAGATTTTCACAAATGCTGGTCGGGGTCCTTGGCTAAGAGGAGACTCTGCCTTGGGCCCGCTGGTGTAAAAAACTGCACTCCACGATCTGCATTGTCCTTCTGAGTGAGTTTGTTTCCTGGAATGTGTGGCTATAACAGCATGACTTCCAGTAGCCGAGACACACAACCACCAAAATCTCCAACAAGAAGTTAAAGCTTAAACAAGAAGTGTACATATATATATAGCAGACTATTTCTCACTTATTAAAAGTCACCGCTGAAATTAGGGAATTAGGACACTGGGAGCCACAGGGATGGACCTTGAAGGATCATACACTAACGGGAATCAGGCAGAGGTACATTCCAGGCAAAATAAAAAGACAAATTTGCAAGTCAACAAATTTACAACCCAAAAAGAGACTCTGAGGATTCAAAATCAAACATAGGGTTCCAGAAAAAAAAAAATAACTGAAGGGTTGTGAATGAAATCGGAGGTCTGTACCTACACAGACAGCAAAGGTATATCTGCAGTAGGTAATCCACAAGGATGATCCTCTTCCTTCCTTCCTTCCTTCCACCTATACACAGAAATATGTATTTTGAACCTATATACAGAAATCTCTTTCTTGAAGAGATATTACACAAAAGTTAACTATCTTCCTTCTTTGTATCCACAGAAAAGTGTATCTGAGATAGAGATAATTTCAAAGGCCCCTATGCTCAGCACTCTGCTCATTATTCTATGGCAAAAACCCAAACAACCATAGACATACCCCATAGAAATGTGATACCTGAATCCCATGATGTATACTGACAACGGTCACAACATCGCAAATCGACAATGCTGTGCTGTAGCATCGACAAGATGTTAAAGAAAGGTAAGTAAATCAGTGCCTTTTCTATGATCTCCAACCTCCCTGACATGGGATGCTATCCCATCCCTGGAGGCTGAGGAGGCTTGGGTCCCACTTCGGCTCTGGGGGTGGTTGACACAGCCTGGCACAGTGCCCTGTATTGAACCCTACTGAAATGTCTACTGTCTCCTACATTCTGGCTGGGGTCAGGGTTGTGTGTGGCATCAAGGCCTCAAGTACTTGCAGGCAAGCCTCAGCAAGCCTAGTCCTTGCATGATGCTGGGGTTCCAGCTCAAGGCTCATTCCTGACAGTGCAGCCTCCTAGCAGCCAAGCACCCTCAGCAGTGTGCTGTGGACCCTGAAGGGATGAGCCTGGACCAGGTGTCTGTGTGATGCTTTAGAGGGAAAAAGTCCTGGGACTCAAGCCCTTTCCTGTTTGCTCAGTCACATTCCACTTTATTTCACTGCCCAGGAAACCAACTTTCCCTAAGGCTCTGGTTACTCAGGAACCAAATGGAGGCCTGAATAGTGCTGTCTTCTTGTAGATGATTTCAGTAACTACTATTTTATCTCCAGAGTTCATTGGCATCTCAGTTCACAAGGATGCTGCTGCTGCTGCTAAGTCACTTCATTCATGTCCGACTCTGTGTGACCCCATAGACGGCAGCCCACCAGGCTCCCCCGTCCCTGGAATTCTCCAGGCAGGAACACTGGAGTGGGTTGCCATTTCCTTCTCCAATGCATGAAAGTGAAAAGTGAAAGTGAAGTCGCTCAGTTGTGTCTGACTCTTAGCAAC